TTACATCACTTTCTTGATTCTTTCGCTTTTCTGGACAATCACTAGAATAGTGACCATACTTTTGACAATTGTTACACTGAATGTGACTCTCATCAGGTTTTCGACCACCACCTCTTTCTCTATTTGCAACACCACCTCTTTGGTTGTCTTGATATGGTCTTCTCTTATTCGAAATGTTTTCTTCGTGCTGGTTTTTTCTACCAGCCGAATTGTTGTGGCCTTCACTACCTTTGTTGTCGAACCACTTTCCTTTACCTTTCTTATCTTTTGTTGATTGAGTCTGCAAAGCCACACCACTCTTCGACTTTCCTACAGCTCTTTTAGACATTCTTTGTTCATGAGATTCAAGCGTCCTTTGAAGCTCTTCCTTCGACAAAGTTGGCATGTATTCCGACTCTTGTATGGAAACTACCACATGGTCAAACTTCAGAGCCAAAGATCTCAAGATCTTTAAACAACTGCTCTTGTTGTTAGCGTCTCTCCACAAACTTTGATTTGATTCACTAGTTTCGTGATCCTAGTGAAGAAATCAGATATGATTTTGATATCTTCCATTTGAAGCAATTCATACGTTCTTTTATGAGTTTGTAACCTCGCCTCTTTCACCTTCTCAGCACCTCCAAACGATTTCTTCAGGATTTCCTAAGCTTCTTTTGCAGATTCTTCATCACTAACCTTTTCGAAATTGTCTGGACTAACACATTGGTGAATTATAAAGAGAGCTTTATAATTCTTCTTACTCGATTCTCTGTATTATGCTTCTTCTTCTTCTGAAGCGTCTTCATCAAGTGGTTCTAATCTATATTTCACAAGATCCCAAAGACCTTAAAAACAAAATATAACCTTCACCTGTTTGCACAAATTCTCATAGTTATCACCTTTAAGAATTGGGAGACTTGTTGGAAAATTTCCATTAGCGTAATTCATCGCCATTGTGATCTTCTTCTTCTTCTTCTTCTTCTTCTTCTTCTTCTTCTTCCTCGATCATTATTGATCGTTCTTCCCTTGAATCACTTAACCAGACTCTGATACCAGATGTTAGAAATCCACCAAAACCTATGATAAATTTCTATCAATATTGATGAACAAGATTGTTATCACCACACAATGACAATGAAAAATATGAAAGAAAGAAAGAAAGAAGATAATAATTTTTCTGCAGAGTTTCCTCTGCCCATAAACTGTAGAAAACTTTGTTATTCACTTGCAACTGCAAATTCTGTGAATACAACTTGATTGATTACAAAAATAAGAGTTATTCCCTCTATTTATAGATTTAGGTTAGCTTGCTCTATAAGCCAAAATTCAAAACTATAAAAGTCCAAAATACCTATTTTGAAACTAAATCAAATCTATCTATTTTAGACCTAAATCAAATCTATCTATTTTAGATCTAAAATCAAATTTGTGTGTAATAAACTATTTTCACACTTCGACAACTACAAACACTTCCACACACACATAGTTTCGACATAAAAGAATTACAATTTAACAAGAAATGTCTTATTTGATATATTTCGATAGATCGAAATATTTCTGAAAAAAGATATTGTGAGTTTCTTGATTGATCCATCGATAGAAAGATCGACACTTAATCTTTAAGATATTCGAATATACTATTGAATAACAAGAAAATATGCATGTGTGAACATGAGTATAATTTCTCCATTAGCGAAACTGAAAACAAGAATTTTTACCATAAAATTGATAACCCTCAAAAACCACTTCAAATAAAATAGTATACCATGAAATAAAATAGTATACCATGAAAAGTGTTATGATAATCATATTCTCATATCATTTATCTCGAAGAGTCTAAAGTTTAAAGACTCATGTTACAATAAAGTTGTGGCTCTAGATCAATAAATGTAATTTTTTTTTTTTAAAATTAATTGTGCAATAAAAAAAAAGTGACATAGTTGTTATCCATTTGCATTCTATAAGGATATAAATGAATTCATATAATTTAACTTTACATAAACTTACTTTAATTCAAAAAGTATCCAATATGTTTCGAATCCTTAAGATCTAATAATCTAAATTTTCATTAATAAAAAAAGTCTCTCTCAGTCTCATAGCATGAATTATGGAGAAAACCGCGGTTGAAAAAATACATCAAAACATTGAACTTTAGACACAACAACACATGTGCATCCAAAATAACTTTTTCCACAATTTTAAATTCAAAAATAGCTTTTTTTCTACGTGATTTTTGGTGAGTGCTATCCAAACTCTTTTCTCTCTCCAATATAAAAACAAACCCAACCTATTAATCTACTTCACTTCCACTTCCATACTTAGCTCAAAGCTCCAATGGCTGTGTCTCTTTCTATAGTTTGTCTAGCTTTTCTCTTTGTTGCTTCAGCTTTTGCTTCTCTTCAGCCTAGAATACCAGAAGGTATAATGTTCACATTTTCTTTGTTAGTTATGATGAACTTTGAGTAAGTAAGATAGATATTGTGGTTGGATCTGATTATTTGTTAAGTTAATAGTAATTGATTTGTTTCTAACTCAAATGGTGAACTGATTTATTACTTATTTTCTGTTTTGGATTATGTGCAAGTCTTTATAATTTTGTCCCATTAAATCAGATCAGTTTGTAGTTAAGTCAGATCAGTTGATAGCTGTGTAGAAATATGCGATACTAGGGGTGCAGATTTGAAATCGCAACATTCTTCAATGTGACATGATGGAGTTGTGTTGGAAATTCACGTGGATTCAATGAGTTCGTGATATTTCCAACATAACTCTCACATGATAGATTATAGACTATTTTTACCCTCAACATGAGACTATAGAGCAGTGTAGTCAAGATCGAGTGCTGAATCGTAAGATATAAAACCTGGGACCTTTTTTGGGCCCGAATTATAATTTTCATGTGTTTTGTGTATGTGTATATAACTATATATATGGAAATTGAAATTACCATTTTTCCTTCGGTTGGATCTTATGTGTCGTGCTAACGATCTGATTTTTACGATCTTTCATCGATCCTATTTAAGATCTCGTGCTTGAGTACATTGCATTAGAGTGTACTAGAATAAAATCTAATGTTTGTTTTTTGTGTAAATTTTGTACTCTCTTGCAGTTTATCTACAAAATGGAAACTTTGAGGAGAAACCAAACCCTAAAGATCTCTTAAAAACAAAGCTCATCGGAAAATATTCGCTACCAAAATGGGAAATCAATGGTTTCGTTGAGTATGTATCCGGAGGTCCACAACCAGGAGGAATGTTTTTTCCAGTGACTCATGGAACACATGCTGTGAGACTAGGAAACGAAGCTTCGATTTCTCAAACAATTAAGGTCAAACCCGGTCAACGTTACGCTTTAATTCTCGGAGCATCGAGGACTTGTGCACAAGATGAAGTTTTGAGAATCTCTGTGCCGCCACAAACAGGCGATGTTCCTTTGCAAACATTGTATAGTCTTAATGGTGATGTTATTGCTTGGGGATTTAAGGCTACTTCTAATGTTGCTAAAGTGACTTTTCATAATCCTGGTGTTCAAGAAGATCCTTCTTGTGGTCCTCTTCTTGATGCTATTGCTATCAGAGAGTTTTATCCTCCAATGCCAACCACAGGTAATGAATTTTGCAACTACTAACCAAACACACTTTAAAACTTGTACTTTTTTGACCAAATAAAGTTGAACTTTTTAATGAGTACTTTCCATTTTTGATTCCTTATTTAATGCCCTTGAAGTGTTTGTTAGCATTTGAATTTATGTTGAGTTACATTTATAGAGTAGAAGAAAATTGGATCCCTACCTATAAACTAGTTATAAACTACTAACATTCACACAGACACGAATACCAGACAAACACGAACACCATCAGACATGTTGAATGTAACCTTATGTGGTGGTGTTGTGTTGGTTACTAATCATGCCTTCAATTTGAAGTGTTAGTACCGTGTATGTTTCCGCCATAACCAAGCCACATAGATAGAGTTTGATAGCGTATTATATACATAACATTGTCGTCCTCTGAGAGTGTGCTCTTTTCAAGTTCTTAGTTTCGAATCTTGCTAGGTGCTAACTATCTGCTCCTATGTTGGGCCAATCCATACATATTTTGCTCTGGCTTTAAATAGGCCCCCCACTAATGGACGGTGGAATTAGTTTCTTTGGATTAATCGGTCGCAAGGTTAGATCCTGAGGCTTAATAAAAAGATAAAAAACATTATCCATCTAATTTTGCTTGCCATTTCATTTGGTGTTTAGTGTTTCAAACTCTATTTTCTGATCAAACCATTGCATAATCTATGGTCTATTGCAGTTAATCTGGTGAAAAATCCTAGCTTTGAGGAGGGTCCATTCCCGATTTTCAACTCAACCAACGGCGTCCTCCTCCCACCACAACAACAGGATCTCTTCTCACCGCTCCCTGGTTGGATAGTCGAGTCTCTCAAAGCCGTGAAATTCATCGACGCAAACCATTTCAACGTCCCATTCGGGCAAGGAGCGGTCGAGCTTGTCGCAGGCCGTGAAAGCGCGATTGCACAAATCATCAGAACAGTTACTAACAAAGTCTACAAGATCACATTCTCTGTCGGAGACGCGAAAAACGGATGTCAAGGATCAATGATGGTTGAGGCATTTGCTGCAAAGGACACTTTTAAAGTTCCTTTTAAATCTGAAGGGAAGGGTAAATTCATAACTGTGAGTTTCAAGTTCAAAGCTGTTGCACCAAGGACTAGACTCACATTCTATAGCTCTTTCTATCATACTAGAATTGATGATTTTGGTTCTCTTTGTGGTCCTGTTCTTGATCAGGTTATTGTCTCCCCTTTGGCCTAAATATGTAATTGAGTTATAGATTGTGGTAATTGAGATTTTAGTGAGTCAATTGAGTTCTATCTTTTGTATAATTGCATGAAGATTAAAGATAATATTCTCAACTATTATTTAGTTTTCCTTATAGATCTCTTTTAGTTGATACTTTGTGTGCCTGTGTGAACAAACATGCCTCTTAATCTTGTTTGAAGAGTGATGTGACACTAAATGACCTCAACCCCATCAATAGGAGCAGGATGAGAAAGATAAATGATATCTGCATTTGGATTAACCAGCTCCCACCTACATTAAATTCACATAAAAACATTAGGTTGTAACTAAAAGTATCCTACATATTTATGAAAGTTGAAAATAAAAAACATTACTTGTATCCTATGGACAAATGATGAAGAAAAAGTGCTAGTTGAATTCTTGCAAGCATGTTTCCAGGACATAGTCTTGGTCCAGCACCAAAAACTTGGAATGTTCCAGGCTTTGCTGGCTCCTAAGAATTTATATGTAAAGAAAGGGAAAAAAAATTAACTAGCATAAAAAAAGATTTGAAACTCAAATAGAAGAATAGTTACTAAACATACATTCCATCTATCAGGCTCAAAGTGCATGGGATCTTTGAAGTTCTTTGGGTCTGTTACAGCATACTAACTTGAGATAGACTTCAGAGCTATGTAGGGAGGGTGAAGCTAATCCAAAGTGTAACCTTTGCTACCATCAACTTCTGGATGCAGTGTCTATCACTGCCTAAAGCAATCATTAGGAAAATTGAAGCAATGTGCAGAAGCTTCATCTGGACAGGAAAGTGTGAGATTAGTAGAAAATCCTCTATAGCTTGGCACACGGTCTGTAGATCAAAGCATCAAGGGGGCTTAAACGTCATTGATTTGGGGATATGGAATCAAACTCAGTTAGAGTGTGAATAATATCTTGCAGGAGCGAAATAAACTACATAACAACATGGTGTAGGAACAATTAAAGCAGCAGGATAAGTGTTAGAATAAAATTTGATTATGCAACTTTATTTATGAGTTTTGATGATAACAAATTAGTATGTTTGTATGAACAATATTTGTACTCTAATATTTGTTATTTTTAATATTTAACAAACAGATTTTCCTTCTGATGAACGACGCTGCCAAGACATTAGAAGAGAATAAGTTCTTCTTCTAGCTATACAAGTTCTGATGAACAGTAGCAAAAGTTTCAGAAGGCTCTGAAGTTGTGATTCTGATACTCGTCCAAGAAACCAGGTTCTGAAGATCTGAAGATAGAAGTTCTAACTGAAGTTCAGATGCTAAAGATTTATGTTTCTGAAGACAAAGGGCTCTAAAGACTAAGTTCTGAAGATTCTGATAGACGAAGTTCTGAAGATTCTGAAGACTTGAAGTTCTGATGACCCAAGGTTCTACAAGGATTCTAAAGACCAAGTGCTGAAGATTCTGAAGACACAGTTCTGAAGACTTTGAAGACTTGAAAGTTCTAAAGACCCAAGTGTTATTCTCATTCTTCCAACGCATGCTCAGAAGCCTCCAGCGTTAGAAGAAAAAGAGGATAAAATTGTGTGGTACAAACAAATTATTCCATTCCACTACCATGAAGAACGAACGTTGCATACGATCTTGTCCCCCACGTGATTATTCAAGCTGCCAACTTTATGGAAATTCCAGAAATACCCTCCAACAGTTATAATATTTTATTGGCTATAAAAGAGCTTGAAGACTAAGAGAGAAGGCTGCTAATTCACATTCTATCAAGAGTGTTCACACGCTTTCTTATTTTTCTTAGTCTATATTCTTGAAATACTGTTTACATATTCGCTTGTGTAGAAGCATATGTTTTGTAAACAAACTTTGTTCAAACTGTTGTTTGATTTTCCTTAAGGGACCAGTTGGTCAGAATCCTTGAGAAGTCTAATATTAGTGTGTCTTAGAGGTTGTAACATTAGTCACTTGCAGTTAGCTTGTGCATTGTAATAATTTGTGTGATTATTAGATTAAGATCTTGTAGAGAAAGGCGAAATCACCTTGGCGGATGGATTAGATTAGCTTTATAGTTTTCAAGTGAACTAGTATACACATTCTTGTTCTTTCCTTCTAGTATCTTATCACTATTACCATTAAGTGAAGCAACTTGTTTCTATTTGAAGGGAATTTTAAAAGAATTCTTTTATATTTAAAACCCAATTCAAACCCCTGTTGGCTGAAGATTTTGATAATGTTATCTAGAATTCAAAAGAGTTAAAAGTTCTGATCGAAATGGAATTGAACACCATATTTCGAAGTTGCAGAAGCAGTGTTTCGAATGAGTGTGTCAAAGCTTGAAGCTTCGAACGGTGATCATGGGAAAATATCCAAAGGGGTCTCGAAACAACAGCGAGGCTAGGTTTGGGAAGAGCGTTCGAAACGGAGAAACACCAAAGCATTTAAAATTTAAATGGAAGCGGGACTTTCAAAGTTTGAAAGTTATGTGTTGGAGCATTTGGGGACACGTGGAAAGATGAAAGAAGCATTGTCTTGCATGTTCGAAACGTGGCATGATCCTATAGCGAGACCGTTAGGGTCGAATTAGTATAAATAGAAGTCTTAGTATTAGGATTTCGGTGTGTCATATCTGTTATACAAAATACTCAATAACATTCAAACTACCACATGGCAAGGGAAACGAATGCAAGAGAGATGTATGTATGATAGCACCATGTATTTCTAACTTAATGAAAGTCTTTTTACCATTTCCAGTACTTTCCTCTTTTCTTTTTATCGAATAACATTTACAAGTTTCTTTATTTATCGTCTTTTCATTTCAAAGTCTTTTCCTCAAAAGTTTTACTCTTTATTGCTTTCTTTATATTTCGAGCACTTTATATTTCAGAGAGCTGTTACGCTTTCAATACCTTTACTTCCAAGTATTGTTTTTCAAACGCATCCTTTTACTTAAAATTGCATTAAACGCTTTCTTCACATTTTAAACTTCTACATTCCAGAAACCTTTTATGTTAAATGTTTTGCAAATCGAAACCATTTACTTCATTTTTCATACAGTTTTATATGTCTCTTCAATCAGCATTACAATTAGCATTTATTCGTATAGTTTAGTTTTCATGTACAATTTGACCACATTTTTAAACTCTTAGAAAGAAGGATCGAAATAAATCAAACATTTGTACAATAGCAACCATGAATAATTGTTCGATTGTGAGAGTAACTTTAATATCCAAGGAGTCCTAGGATCAATCTAGTCGATCCTGTGAGTTACCAGAGAGATTGAGTAGCGTTAATAAAGATTATTCGATAGTTTGGAAGACTAGCGGTTGTTTACCAGAAATCACTGGAAACAAATTGGCACACCTGGTGGGACCAATAGTTGGATATCAGAATTAAGGATTGTCGAGACATAGCCATCCCAAAAACGTAGGAACCATAAGAAATTTGCTGTTTTATGAACCTAAGAAGTGGTAAGATAACCAACAGCAACCAACCTTTATCCAGAAGAAAACGTTTGGACAAAATGTCTAATTCAGACAATCAACAAGGAAACCAAGGTGACCCACATGCAACAAGCACTAACGCGTCCATTTCGAGCGGAACATCTAATGTAATCCCTTCGAATGCACAGTCTGTTGCATCTTCAACCAGTAACATAGCCACCACTGGAGTAAGTGGCATATCAACTAACAGTTCGATCTTAGGAAATACTGGAACTATGGGCTACCCTGGGGGATTCGTTCCACCACCAGGAACACAATCCCATTTAGCCACACCATCAACTAGACCACCCGGCTTCGATGAGAATAGAATTAGAAGTTCTTCTTAAGGAATGCCAACATCTTTTATGGCAGGTTTACACAATTCCACTTCGAATTCATCCCCACAACTAGGATCTGGGTCTGGGGCGAACCAATTTATGACAAATAACCAAGGGTCAGGAGGTTATAGCACGTTGCCTATCCTAACCACAGATAACCAGTTGGCTTTTAGGCAATTGATGGATGACAGCAACCACAACATGATAGGGGTGTTAGCGCAAACCATGCAGGAAATATTTGCCCCAATAGTTCAGAATGTGACTGTGACGAACAGGGAAAACGCTGACAATATGAGTCGAATAGCAGATTTCTTTGCTCCCACAGAAAGGCGTAGGCAGAACCAGGCGGGATTTCGAACAAACATGCCTGTTATAGAACGAATTGCTAACGACCCAATTCAGAGACTACCCAGAGAAGAAGCTAACTTAGGGGCCAGAGCACCAAGGTTAGAAGCCCCAGTAATTCAGGGCCCACAAAGGGAAGTTATGGAACCAGGGGCAAGGATCGAAAGGCCAGAAGCCCCAGAACTTCGAGAAGAACAACCCAGGGGAGTTGTTTTTGTTGGTCGAAATCAAGATGCCGATGCCGTCGTTCATAGGATTCGAAACGATAACATCTTGGCAGAAAATAACCTAACCACCATGATAGAGAGGATCATGGCCCAAAATGGCCTCAATACGGGAATGAGGAGGCCAAATTATGCTTCTCCTATATTGGATTGTATAATGCATACTGATTTACCAAGGGAATACAAAGTCCCTAAATTTACAAAGTTCGCTGGGGATACCAACGAGTCAACAGTCGAACACATAGCGAGATATTTAACCGAAGCGGGAGACATAGCCAATAATGAAGATCTCAGGATCAAATACTTCCCAAGTTCCTTGACAAAAAACGCCTTCACTTGGTTTACCACGTTGCCTCCCGGATCTATTGACACTTGGCCCCTTTTAGAGAGATTATTTCATGAACAATTTTACATGGGACAATCGAAAATAAGTTTGAAGGAATTGGCCAGTGTTAAGAGAAAATTTACTGAACCCATAGATGATTATTTGAATAGATTTAGGCTGTTAAAATCCAGATGTTACACAGTAGTGCCTAAACATGAGTTAGTCGAAATGGCCGCTGGGGGTTTGGACTATTCTATTCGAAAGAAATTAGATACTCAGTATTTGAGGGATATGGCTCAATTAGCCGACAGGGTTCGACAGGTCGAAAGACTAAAAGCTGAAAAAGCCAGAGTCTTTAAGAATAGTAAGAAAGAAAGGGTTTCCTATGTTGGGACTGAGGAAGTAGAAGAATATCCTGAATTCGAATTCGAAGAGGTCGAAATCGACCTCGCTGAATTAAAACAGGCCCCACCTTACTCCTGCAAAATGTTAGTTCCCACGAAAGGGAAAGATATTGTTGAAAATGAGAAAAGTGACAAGTTTCCAAAGAAGGTTTACACCTTCGACGTCACTAAGTGTGACGAAATTTTTGACTTGCTTGTCAAGGATGGCCAACTAATTGTGCCATCAAATGTCAAAATACCTCCCTTGGATCAGAGGAAGACAAGGGGATTTTGCAAATATCATAGTTTCCTAGGCCACAAGACCTCACAATGTTTTCTTTTCAGGGACTTGATTCAAAACGCGATCAAAGATGGCAGACTAAAGTTTGCTGATAAGGTGAAGATGAAAGTGGACGAAGATCCTTTGGACGTCGCAGACACCAACTACTCCGAGCCTGCATGCATTGGAGAGGTCAACATGGTGGAAACTGATCAAAGCGATGCCCCAACAGGAGAGAAGGACACTGGAGTCGAAAACTGGGTGATGGTCGAAGTCAGCGAGGAAGTCACTGAAGACATCCAGAATACGCCAGATACTTCGATTGTTGCACCTGTGGCTGTTGCAGGAGAAACCCAGGCTACTGAAGGCCAAGGAAATCAAAACGAAGGATTGACACAAGTCACTGAGGGCTTGAGGTTGGAATTGGAGAAAGTCCAAATTACGCAGCCAGTTCCCCTTCGGAAGGAAATATGGGACACTCTGGGGGAACCCAGTGGGAAATTTGACTATCTGGTCAAATATTCTGCCCCAGAAAGTTCGAAGGTCTAGATCGAAGATATAAAGCCCACAGGATGGGGCGATGACGAAACTAAAGAGGGGGATGTGGAAATAAATATGGTGGATATGGAAGGACCCCGTTCTGAGATGGAGGAAGTGAAAAAATACTTAGAAAAAGAAAAGCACAGAATGGGGGATAATCACACTGGAGATGCTACTCTCAAAGACTATCTCATGACATGCCACAAAGAAGATCCAGGCATGATATTGTGCCCTAGGTGCAGCATCCTCTGCAACCAAAGAATTGCTGCAAATTTCGAAAGGGTACAGAGGGCTCGAACTGGCAACAATTGGCGCCAGGATAACCAACTCTTTAGGTGCTATCCCAAGGCTGGAGAGAGTCTGTTGGAGTTTGTTTTTCGCTGCTACAAAGGGGCAACTAAGTGTTTGGTTTGCCCAAGATGTTCTGCTGTGTATGACCAAAGCATGTCCAGGGCCTTCGAAACGATCCCCTTCGCCCCTTGCTGGAACCATCAAGAAACTGCCCAGATGGGCCCGCGTTTCGACAGCAGATACAAACAGCGAAGACCTGATAGCCCTCACCCCAAAGTTGCTCGAAGAGTGACTTTCAAACTCCCTGCTGAAGTGCCAACCGATAGAT